CGTACACTATTGAGTTATGGATGCACGCGGGAGGTTGCTAAGCACGAAAGAAGCGTAAGAGTCGCTCGAGGCGATAGCCGAGAGCGACTCTAGCTTCTTGAGTGCTTAGCAAACCTCCCAAGTGCATCCATAACTCAATAGTGTACGCTGTGGTGTTTACCATTTGTTTTATAACATAACATTGATACATTGTAGCTAAAGAGTTCCCTTTTATTTAACAAATCTTACGCGACCAGAAAAAACAAGCGCGCGCGGAAAAATAGTCTTTGCATTTGCTCACGTCAGCAGCGTACACCCATGGGCAAATGGGGGACGCTAAATTGACCAATCAGAGCGCGCGCTTTACTTTGGTTATGTTATAAACATAAATATAATTGCACCTGCAGTGTAACGTAGAAATCAGGCTGAATGGCATTAAAGGCCTTGAGTATCGGAAACACCTGCTGAATGGCGGAGTAGTTGTGCTTGCCGAAATGTCGCTTTAGGATATTTATTATGGACTGGAAGAGAAAAAAAAAAAGAATATCCGTGTTTAGAAAGCTTGATTGTCCAAAGTAAGAAGCATACTCATCAATGATATGACGGGCGCGTTTGTCATTGGAAACATGTAATTAGCCCCGAGCAACGAAACATGCAACCGGCTTCAAGCGCGGGAAAAAATGCAACCGGATCCAAGCGTGGGAACAATATGCCTCCGGTTCCAAGCGCGGGAAAACAGGCCTCTGGCTACAAGTTCGAGAAAACATGCTTCCGGCACCGAGCGCGGGTAAACACGCCACTGACTTAATGCCACTAACTCTAAGCGCAGACGAAAAGATAAAATCGGCACCAAATATGAGGGGAATGCGCGCTTCGATTAATATTTTCATAATTACGACCAAGATTCGTTCTGTTTAAGATTACTACATGCTGAAGACTTACAAATTAAAGAAAATTAAAACCTGTCAAGGGGTAACATGGTGAACACACCTCTCCTTCGGCAATGAAATCCTCCATAGCGGCCTGAATAAGTGTGTCAAAAGTAGTGCTTTGACTCTGCTCGGGAATGATGCTCTTCATTAGCTCTCGTTCACTCTAACATGAATGCATGTAAACAAGAACGAAAAAACAAAAGAATTAACATTTGAGAAAACATCTTTTGCTGCATAAAAGATCAAGATCTCAGAGTAGAGAACATTTCATTTTCGGGTAAAAGATGCCCTCAAAATTGTTAGAGTTTGCGTTGACTTGCAAGATTGACCAATACATACTACTTTTTAAGCCACAATAGCTGTGAAATTCTTAATAGGATTGAGATTGAAACTCGACAAATCTCCCGTTTCGCCAAGGATACTTTCAGCCTCGCTGATTCTAAAGGAAAAGTGACAGAAATAAATACAAAGTCTTTAAACTTACGTTAATAATAGGGCGTATTTTCTGTTTGAGTGGTAACCAAGATAATTCTTTGTAAAAATCATGAGTTTGTGTTCTCGTCGAGAACACAATATTTCAGACCAAACCACTTTTTCGCAATTTGTAACACAATTACTGACCTGTATGAGTCTCAGCAAAGATTTACAGAACACAATGTAGTTTGCACCATCAATTTCCCTAAAAGAAGTGAAACAAGATAATCAATTGGCTTAACATCGGGGATATTAGAACAAGTTTCTCCGTAATATGGCAGGAGTTTCAGACAGGCGTGTTTTTCACCCCTGATAAATGATACTTCAAAGGTTTACTTAAGACTTACTCTTCTTCTTCTTTGGAAGTGCCAACATCTGTTGGGATGGCCGAGGTTCGACGAGGAAGACCTAACAGAACACAAATGACAAATAAAACTGACCTTTTCTAGACTTTAGAATAAGAGCAAATCAACTGAGATCCTTATTGCTCAAAAGCTGCCTAAGTTCCTCGACAGGCAGTTGAATACTTCTCTCTGTTAAATTAAAGAAAACATTCATTTGAAAGAAAAAACGTGGAAAATAACATCAAACACGTTTACCATGATGTTCTGACTTTGAGGGAACACGACGCAACCTTTAAAAAATAAAATACAATTGTGTGACCTTTTTTCAGGAACTGGGGAAAAGAATTTACCTTGTAATAATAAAAAAAAGCATTTGGACTGAAACAATTTTAAATTGCTCCTCGATAACTTCCTGAATTGTACCCTGCTCCGTCCTATCTTTTTCCAGACAACATATTAACCCCCAGATGGAACAGCTTGAGGGGATGAGATCTTTCTAGTTCTTTTTTTTCTGAGCAATAATCATTTTACTTTCCATTTCCAAAGTAGATTAGTTACAGTTCGTATCATTACGAGAACTCGTTTGTGCAAAAATAAGTAGTTAAGTCCTAAATAACAAGAGGTTGAGCCATTTTTCATGAAATTGTAGCCTGTAAAGCAGGCGTTCTTGTGGAGTTTGGACGAAAATTAGGACTCTGGGCTTTCTGTTTTATTTTCCAGACCGCGCGTAAAATGGAGCGAGGCCCCCACCTTCTAATTGTTCGGCTCTCTCCATTTTACGCGTGATCTGGAAAATAAAACAGAAAGCCCAAAGTCCTAATTTTCGCCCAAACTCCACAAGAAAGCCTGCTTTGCAGGCTATGAAATTGTGAAGTGTTCATCATTTTTAGCAAAATACAATGGAACCATCAGATTGTTAAATTTGCACATTTTTTTCAATTGGCAATTTTTAGTTATTTCAGAAATATCCTAGATAGAGACCAACATAATTAAAAGTTTAGTTATCAGTAATGAGAATTGCATAACGCCAACATACTCTCTCCTTTTAGCTGTTCCTTTTCTTGTGGGTGTGTTTATCCCACCTGTGAACAATAGAAGAAACAAACTAAGAGTTTCAATGTATAGTCGGAAAAAGATCCAAGTCCCAGATGGGATTGGATTTTTTTCCGACTATACATTAAAATAGTTGTTTCATCTTGCAAACTAAGAGTTGTGCAGTTAATTCATTGAGTCATATATCCTTTGAAAAACAAAAAACAAAAAAAAAACAATCTGCATTCAAAGTTATAACAGAAATAAACCAACGAAGGCATTGCTGGTAACAAAGACTCACTAATAGTTAATGTTTTGGGGGAAACAAAAACTGACCAGCAGAACTGTAATTCAGTGCAGTTCTGAATCTCCCTGCTTCTGTAGCAGGAAAGGTTATATCTGCGCACAGGACTGGTGAAAAATAGGTCACAAAAGGGAACTTGACCTGATCTTTTGTGGTGTCAAGTGACAAGGGCTACGGCCATTCATACGAATATAAGGAAGGGAGGAGGGGAGGAGAGGGGAGGGGAGGGAAGACAGTCTATGGCATGTTACACCACAGTCCAAGTCAAGTTTCTATGACAGTGTTCATTTATACTACTAGATAGAGAGAGTAGGTATTAAAAATAATATTTGTAAAATCAAACAGACTGATGCCCACCTGGAGCAGACTTCACTTTGCTGACAAAAGACTACGGGGAATTAAAAGAAATCGAAAACTTTGAAACTAAATATAAAACTTTCTATACTTTTAAAAAACATAAGTAAAAGTTACGTACAACTTTACATTGTTAAGTACATGTATCATACAAAAAGAGGTTGGCATTCTGTTCATAATAAAATATATAAAAGGAAGATTTGATGAGTTTTAGGAGAGAAAGTTATTTTTAGTTTGGATGCAAATGATGGATAAATATTTGCAACACTTTTGCTGATTAAAAGATAAGTTTTCAAAGCAGATCACTAGGACTTTATATGCAGTTAACTTCAAATTCTTCTCCTCTGAATAAAAGAAACTGCACTTACATCTTTTAACCTGAAAAAGGAACAAAACAAAACACCCAGTTAATACTTTACATCCTAACATCAGTCTGCATATTCTCCATACTGTTCTCTATACAATTCCTAAGGACCTTTTCAGCCTAACATCAGTATGCATATTCTCCATACTGTTCTCTATACAATTCCTAAGGACCTTTTCAGCCTAACATCAGTATGCATATTCTCCATACTGTTCTCTATACAATTCCTAAGGACCTTTTCAGCCTAACATCAGTATGCATATTCTCCATACTGTTCTCTATACAATTCCTAAGGACCTTTTCAGCCTAACATCAGTATGCATATTCTCCATACTGTTCTCTATACATTTCCATGGGTGCTAACAGGGAGAATTTGTTTAACAATCATTAGCTTCTTTAGTTGGTGATCATTTCCTTTATTCTTGTGACCTTAATGTTTGGTACAGGGGTGATAATGTAAGGAGAAATTAGATGCTGGTCACTCTATGAGGTTAAAGGATTTAGAGAAGAACAGTAAGATTTCTGAATGCAACTCACACATGTAGCAAACCCTTCTCTGCAACTAGAATGACTTACCCCTGTAAAGATCGCACAAGTGAATTAGATCTGATTTGGGCATAGACACTCATAAAATCTGAAGGACAAACAAAAAGTTAATTCTACTAGGGAAGTGGCTTAAAAATCCTCAATTCAAATCACTAGAATATGACCTTTCGATCGCTCTAAAGCATGTTTATCAAAAGATCCAGCACATAATTGACAACACACTAGCCTATGATGTATCTTAACTGTTCAAGCCTAATATTATTATTCACATTCTCCATACTGTTCTCTATAAATTTTTGTTAAAAAAAAAAGCTCAAGACATTAATGGTAAAAATGATTAAACTACTAAAATTCTGGAACATAACAATGAAGTGTGGAGCTCCAAAGAATGAATTCACTTTTCTTACCTACAACTTCATCATATCCAGGTCCATTCAGCCAATGGGTAATGGTACATAAATCTTCCAAAACTTTCTCTGTAAAAAAGGAGACAAAATAGTAGTACATAACTAACAACTGATAAAGTAAGATTACTTTTAAATTGTGTCCTGAGTCAAAACAGTTAACATGCACTCAGAGCTTGTTATCCAACATTTAATTACTTAATTATTTAATTATCTAATTACATTTAATTACTTCCAGTCTGTCCTTACAGTCTATTCATTTTAATTGCTTAAATTTTAATAATAGAAAGTTTTTGGTTACAAACCTGATAAATGCTCTAGCTTGACAATTTCCTTTGAATCTTCTTTCATAAAATTGGACAAAATAAATATTAATAAGACTTCGGCTAAGGGGAAAGCTCAATTCATCATTAACACTCTGTGAAAAACAAAATTTAATTCAGGAAAAAGGGGCAAGCTATGAAAATAGAAAGTGACATTTGACAGAATATAAGAATTAAAGTTTCAAGTTCTCGAAGCTTTAGATCTCTGTTTTACTTTGCTGATACATCTCGAAAATACTTAAAATATATTATATTATTTTTCAACCTGTGTGTTGCACATACTAAAGTTAAAAGTTAGTTCATGTTAAAATGATTTTGAACAAGTCTGATTTGTTCTTCTATGGTTTAAGGAAGTAACAAACCAAAAACCCAAAAAGTCAAGTTGAACTAATTTGAAATCATTTTCAGTTAATACTCATGATAAACTACAACAAGTATATTCAGTTTACACACTCAGGGACAACTAACTGGTAAAAATTAAAACTAAGAAGCAACCTGTCTCATTCTCCACCAGTTTTATGATCATCTCAACAGGTACAGGTCTACTGTGCCTGTTTAAAATCAAGCGGAATTCTTTCTCTAATGAGTCTCGTCCGTAATCACGCAAAGAAGTCTGCAAAGAAATGAATCACCTTAACAACAGTGACTAAAAACAAATTTCTCCTTACATTATAAGGCAACTATAATTATAATTTTACTTTTGGCCCACACTTTTATGCAGCAACTTTGAAAATCATTAAGCTTATAGCAAAGTACAGTTTTGCAAAAACAACTCAATACACATACCAGGTTAGAGAGCTCCATGCAGTTGGGATTGTTTTGCTTAAAGAACTCAATTGCATCTAACACTCTTTCCAGATTTTTTATATAAGCATCAAGTTCACCTGTGGGGCTGGAGAAAAAAAATGGTATTGCTATAATAGTAAGTGTCTCAGAGACTGTAACCCTTTCAATCCTTTCAGATGCGAGATCTCATTAGAAATTTTCCTTACTGTCTGCCCTACAATTCTGATCATGTTAGTTGTGATGACTTGGTGTTGGATCAAGTAATAATCCCCTTACTGATATTTTTCTTAATTCTCATCACTTGTCTGCTTAATATTGTCTTGTTGTTACACGACTCGGGTAGAGGGCCAATAACTAAAATCAACCAATCAAAATGGTCTATTGGAGGTCAATATTCTCTCAGTATTGGACCAGGCACTGTCCGGAATGGTCCCGAATGGTCCTGAATGATACCGCACTAGTGTCCCTTTGAACTTCAGTCGTATAATAAATCTCTTATTAACCACGTTTGCTCGGGACCATACTGGAAGAATATTGGGCCTCGGTCTTTTTTGTACAGACCACGCTGCGCTTGGTCCATACTGTCAAGACCTCAGGCCAATATTCTCCCAGTATGGCCCTTGCGTTTGGTTATAAGATATATATATATTGTAAGGAGAATTGTTGTCTTGATCACTCACAGGAGTTAGAGGGTTAAAGACCCATTCTGTGGTTGCCCTGATAACAGTGTGCATTTGCACTATACTTACGACTCTCTGATGACATGTTCCACATTAGTAGAGACATGGTGATAACTAATCACATGATCCAACGCTGACAAACATTTTTCAATATCTGATAATGGTTAAGGGGTTTAATGTTAACACAGCTTTCCTCCAAGACTACTTAAAACTGCTTGTCCCTTTCAAAGATTAGCGTCCTTCTGCGGGAAGGGCTCTCAGTTAAACATCATTCTTAGTTTACATGTATACAGTATAATATATTTTATCATATTACCCATCCAGCCTGGTGTGCAATATCCCGTAGAAAACCTTAGTGAAAGCTGACGTGTGCAGGGTTGAGTTAACCGCCTCTCGGTTAACTCAATGGATAGAGTGCTGGACTGTTGTGTGGGAGGTTGAGGATTCGAGCCCCGGCCAGACCAACACTCAAGGTCTTAATTAAAAATAATTGAGAAGAATAATTATGCTACCTTTCTATAACATCAAAGAAAT